AAAAAAAAAATGTGGCAATTCCACTAAGGAATGACAAATATGTCCAGGGCATCTAATCATTAATTTAATGTGATAGATATTTTTATTCTTTGTTTAAAATATTATTCCTTTACCAGAAGACATATGATTTAAGCGTAAAGTGCCAAAATAATTCCCAACAATTTTAAAATTGAGCACTAATTCTCCTCCATATGGACTACAATGATCCCATATTAACAGTCGAAAACTATATATTGCGGAGCTATACTCATTTTATTAATGACAAATACGATCATATTATAATGGCATCGTTTGCTACTGAGAATATTCCAAAGATTAAGACGTTTTTGACCTAAATAAGCATTATTGGACGCTAATTATTTTAACAATTTATCATGTGTCATCCAGGTTGGTAATCTAACAGTCCGAAGGCTCTGCAAGAGCAAAATAATCACAGCAGTAAATGGTGAATATCCCGGCCCGACTATCAATGCTCGTGAGGGTGACACTGTCGTCATCTATGTCATCAATCATTCTCCTTACAATATTACCATTCATTGGTAAGTCTTCCTTTAATAATAGAATCAACCAAGGAATTCGGTGGTACATATGTAAAAGCTTAATAATTTTAATGATAACAGGCATGGTATATTCCAGCGTCTGACACCATGGGCTGATGGTCCGAACTTCATAACCCAATGTCCGATTCAGCCTGGACATAGCTACACATATAAATTCAACATCATCGGACAAGAAGGCACGCTTTGGTGGCACGCGCACGTCTCCGTTCTCCGCACCACTGTGTACGGAGCACTCATCATTCAGCCCCGAGCCGGCCCTCTCGGCTATCCCTTCCCCATACCTTACAAGGAAGCCGTCATCCTCCTCGGCGAGTGGTGGGACGCCGATGTGGTCAACCTTGAGAATTTGGCCCTTGCATCCGGCGGTGCGTTTAACAACTCCGATGCGTTGACCATCAATGGCCGCCCCGGTGATCTCTATCCCTGCTCCAAAAAACGTATGTATTCAGCTTTTTTTTAATGTTTTAGTAATTAATGCAGTAATATGAGATTCTTTGTTTAAATGTTTTGTAATTAGTGACTATAGTTTAAAAG